CCCTCTCTCCCCCTCTCTCCCCCTCTCTCCCCCTCTCTCTTTCTTTCTTTCTTTCTTTTGATTTATTTATTTATTAGGGCTCCTGGGTGGCTTGGTTGGTTAAGCATCCTCTCTCTGTCTCTCAAATAAATAAATAAAATCTTTTAAAAAATTATTTATTTGAGAGAGAGCACAGCGCGAGGGTCAGAGGGAGAGGGAGAGAGAGACTCTCAAGCCAGAGGCCATGCTGAGCACACAGCCCGACACAGGGCTTGATGTCACAGCCCTGGGATCGCGACCTGAGCCCAAACCAAGACTTAGACACTTAACCAACTGCACCACCCAGGCGCCCCTGAGGTTGTTCTTTCAATAGAGCTTTGCCTCGGGGATCACTGTGTCCTTTTCCTTCTTGGGAATGAGGAGGTGTAGAAAAATATTGGGGGGCTATACTGTCAGAGCAGAGGCCGGCCTGCTCCACATCCTGGCTGTAGGCATACTTGCTGTGTGATCCTGGGCAAATGACTTCACCTCTCTGTGCCTCATTTTCTCGTCTGTTAAGTGAGAATAATGGTGCCTGCTTCTTAAGGTTGTTGTGAGGATTAAATGAGTCAATACGTAAAGCACTCAGAGGAGTCCTGGCACATAGTGAGCACTACGCAAGTGTTAGGTTTTATTATTACTGTGGATGCGGTGGTGGTGGTGGTGGTTATGAAGGAGTTCTAAATACACACACCATGATAAATTAACACTTTTCATGCGGTAGGTACTTCTCAGGATGTAATGATTTCAAGTTCACAGTCTTATATCAAAATGATGGTATTATATCAACAAAAACATGGGCATTTTAGTACTTTAAACGAGGAAGGCAAACAGGAATGCAGGAAACTGGGAAGGGGTTGATGCCTCGACACGTTGCTGAGGACCAGAGAAAGGGCACAGGGTACTGTCCAAGTCACGCAGATGCTCACAGGCCTGGCATACAGCAGGTGCACCACAGAACCGGCGAACTTTGATCTACTGGTGGATAAAGTTCAGGCTTCTTGCAATTTTTAAAAATCTCTTTGGATTTGATGAAACCAATTGCCTTCATCCATTCAGCAAATATTTTTTGAGCATCTCCCGCTGGCCAGGCACAGTGCTGGGCCCTGGGAGGCAGGGGCAGCCCAGTGGAGCAGGGAGAGAAGAGGGGAAGCTGCTGAGGAATGAGTCTTTACTACTGATCCGGGTGGCACAGCCTGTGCAGGCCTGACTGGTCTGTGTGTGTGTGTTTCTCCTGTCCCCACCCTAGGAGGTGTCAGAGCTGGAGCTGACTATCCAGAAGTCCAAGCAAAATGACAGTCGGCCCCGAGAGGTGCTTCTGGTCCTCAGTGCGAACAAGAACATGCTCCTGCGGTTACAGGCCCCAGGAATCCCACTCAACCTGGCCTTCGTGAGTGTGTTACCTCCAACTGTGGGCTGAGGTTCTGTCCATGGGAGGCTCCTGCTGTCTGTCTCTGTGGGCCAGGCTCTCCTGCCCCAGCAACCCTGCTTCTCTTTTTCATTCTGACATTATTCACTGTGACATTATTCACCTGCCTGGTGAATCCCATGGGGCCCTGCCTGAGCGAACTCAGGCAGCAGAGTCTGGGATGAAGAGTCCAAACCCAGATGTGGGAGTCAGGTTAATGGGCAACCCTGGCCAAGTCCAGTCCTCTTGCATAGCTGGTCTTCCCATCTGCCCAGTGGCAGAATCAGATCCAGTGACCTCCCATAAAGTAATCTTGTCACTGTCTTTGAAAAAGTTACAAGATATGTTTGAAAATATTTAAGAACAAAGGAAAAGGAAACCTAACAATGTATTAATTGTAGTTATGGCAGGGACATGGGAATAGGAGAGGCATTTATTTATTTGTGCTTTACACTTCGTTGAATTTGCAAGATTCGCTCTAATGAACATAGCCTACGTTGGAGAAAAAATATTTTGCAAAAATTCCAGTTTTAAGTGTCAGGCAGTTCCACCAGAGAGAGGTCAACAGGCTGGGACCCACAGCAAGGGGTGGGGGTCAGGGCTGGAGGAGGTGGGGTGGCCTGTGGGCACTGCCTCCCCCACTGGAAGGCCCTGGGAGGTGGTCCCCAGATGCAAGCAGCTGCTGTTTACAGCCAGAGAAAGCAGAGGGCAGGGGTGGGGGCAGACGGCAAAGCTAACAAGGGGGGAGAGAAACACAAAAAAAATGGAGCTAGGAAGAGCCAGCTTGTTGTGGGAGGGACAGATGGACAGACAGACTCTCAGAGAGACAGAGAGAGGAGGAGGAAAGCTGGAAACCAAAGACAGACCCAGATCCAGGGCTGCCTGGGTGACAGGCCCAGAGACGGAGAGAGGTTGGGGCTGGGGTGAGGAATCCAGGCTCGAAGCAGGCACAGCAGAGACAGAGGAACAGCGCCAGGGAGCCACGGAAGCCAAGCAGGAGGGCAGAACTGGACCAGCCCCATGTGGAACTTCCCTCTGTTCCCAAGGGGATAAATTGAGGCCCCGTGGGGAGCCAGGGCTGCTCCTCCCTCTTAACTCTCCCCCCCCTTCCCCTTCCCCTTCCCGTTCCTGGGCCCTGCAGGCAGGGATCTGAGCCCTGGTGGGGCCCAGGGTGACGCAGGGAATATGAAACACAGGGCAGAAAGGTCGCGGCAGCTGCCAGCTCTGGTCTGGGCCAGGCCTTCCTCCTCCTCAGAGCTAAAGATAGTCGGGCCATGGGGGCGGGGCACTGTCGGAGCTGCAGGGGGTGAGGAGGGGAGGCTACAGCTACCTGAAGGGGGGCGGGGACTCCACCAGAGGGGTCACAGTTGGGTTTGCAGCTTGGGCCTATGTCTGACCGAGCACCAGGTGACTGACAAAACGCCTCGCCTTTAATCCCTGTTACATCCCCATTTTACAGATGATGACCCTGGGAGTCAGACTGGGTAAAGGTCCCTAACCTCCTCCCGCTCTAAAACACTGCCCAGCCCTTCCCTCGTGGGGTCTGAGTTCCTCACCCAGGCGCTCATCACTTTGCCCCCTTATTTGAATCCTTCTCCATTCTAGGGGCGCCTGGGTGGCTCAGTCATTAAGCGTCTGCCTTTGGCTCAGGTCATGATCCCGGGGTCCCGGGATCGAGCCCCATATCGGGCTCCCTGCTCAGCAGGAAGCCTGCTTCTCCCTCTCCCACTCCCCCTGCTTGTGTTCCTTCTCTCGCTTTGTCTCTGTCAAATAAATAAATAAAATCTTTTAAATCCTTCTCCATTCTAGGTGGACCATTCTCTGGTATCTTGTCTACTGCCACTACCAGGCAGTCCCCCTTAGTATCTAGCCTGAAGCCCTTATATTGCTGTTGCTTCAGAGCGATGCCCCTGGCTTTGAAGATGGAAAGCTAAGGAACTCTGAGTCTGGGGCCCCAGTAGAACACCTCTTTCAGGAAGTCTTCCCTGTTCCTTCCACCAGGGTCTCTCCTTGCGGCCGGGGCAGTAGAGGCCGTGAGGTGCTAGAGCCATCCACATTCCCATCCCTGTGCATCCAGAGGCCTGTCTTGTTCCCTTGCTTCTGTTAAATAACACCCTTTGTCTTCTGTTGTTTCAAGTGACTTGAGGCAGGACTAGTTTCTGGATGGCAAGATTCCCCAGGGCAGAGACAATCCCCGTTAGTCTTTCATTCATTCATTCATCTGTTTCTTCTTTCCTTCCTTCCTCCCTCCCCTTGTGCAGGGAGGACCCGCTGTGTGCTAGGTACGTGGGTAAAGCTGACGTGTCAGGAAAGTCAAGTATTTCCCAGTGCCTACTATGTGTCCGCCACCATGCAGGGATAGGCAGGGCAGACGCTGTGTCTCACAGACCCTAGCCACATGATGTCACAAGTGTGGGTGGTATGAGTAGGACTGTGGAGGGGTGGGGAGGTGATGTTTGGACAGCTGGATGAACAAGGATGTGTCTCCATCCGGCACCAGGTGTGGAAGGGCTCTGGGTTGACTTCAGATCTATCAACCTCAGTATTCTCAGCCCTGCCTCCTCTCAGCCAACTGGCTGCCTCCCCAAATTACCTCCCAACCTCCTGAATGGCCCTCGGGCCCTCAGCCCCCTGAGCCTCCCTGTGTCTTCCTAGAACCCCAAACTGATCTTCCAAGGGCACCCAGGAGTCAACACGACACAGCTGCCACCCTTCACCACCCAGAAGCAGTTCCTCGACTGGGCAGAAGCGAAGGGCCCCATTGCATCTATTGCTGAGCTGAACGACCCTCAAAGCATCCTCCTCCGTCTGGACCAAGGTCAGCTTCGCCCGCAGCTTCTCTGAGCTCAGGACTCAGCTCTGAAGAAATGTGAATTCTCCTGGCCCATTCTCAGATGTGGACACTAAGGCTCCAAAATGGGATGTGATTTGCCCCAGGTCACATATAACAAGTCAGTGCTCTATGGGGAGAGTAATTTTTGGCCTAGAAAGCAGCACTTTTATTTATTGCGCCCCTACTATGTGCTCAGTCCTATGCTAGGTATTTGGGGACTCTGTGCAGACAGACCCAGATCCTGCCATTCTGGAGCCAACACTGGTGAGGAGATGACAGTAAATATGTACACAGATGAATAATTCCATAATTGAATAATAATTGAATAACTGCAATTCCATATAATAATTCCAAAGTAATTCCATAATTTCAAAAATTCCATAATTTCCGGTCATGGTAAATGCCATAGGAAAGAGAAAAGTGAGGTGAGGTGCTGGTGGTCGCAGGGTTGCACACCTAACACGTGCCATGGGTTCGTGCCTTTATTAACCCTGTGTCCACAGATGAGGAAACAGGCCAGGGGGCTTGCCCCCAGTCACATGGCAGTAAGTGATGGAGGGGAGATTTGAATTCAGGTCCTCCCAGGCACCCCACTTCTTTGCTGCTCCATCCTGCCCACCCCCCCTTTACTGTGGGTGAAGGTGGGCCTCTGTATTAGTGCCAGGCTTTTCAGGGAGGGAACTGAGGTGCGCTTGTCCCCACAGCCCAGAGGGTACCATCCTCCTGCAATCCGGAACCCCTCACGGACATGGGCCACACTCTCGAATGGAGCCCGCTCACTCGCGCCTCTGTCCGGGGCTGCCGTTTGGAAGGTGTGCCTGGCCACAAGGAAGCGCACATCGTGAGGGTCCTGCCGGGCACCGAAGCCGGGTAAGGGTGCCCGCCCCCGCCCACATCAAGCCCCGCCCACATCAAGCCCGGCCCATCCCTGGCTGGGTAAGAGTGTAGTTGCCGCCACCTTAGCTCTGGGGCCTGCCCCTGCGGGCCAAGCCCCGCCCACTTCCGCGCCCCTCCCGCCGGCCTACAGTGACCAGGTGAAGGCGCTCAGCTGCTGCCCACCTGACAGGCCTAGTCCCCTCCCGACCAGTCTCCATCAGGCCCCGCTCAACCCCACATTCCTGCCCCGGGCTGACGCCAGGGTCTGTCTCCCCGCAGGCCCCGGACAGTGACCGTCAAGGTGGAGCTGCGTTGTGCTTCAGGGGATCCCGACGCTGTGCTTATCCTGCAAGGTCCATCCTACGTGTCCTGGCTCATCGACGCCAACCACAACATGCAGATCTGGGTGAGTCTTGCTCTGCAACCCAGACAGCCGGGCGCAGGCCTTGCCAAGGCTCTCCGGAGAGAAAACCCAAACTCCTGGCATCAGCCCCCTAGCCCTGAGCCCTTACACACCCACCCCCTTCCTCTGTGCACTAGCCATTCTTCAAACCTTCACCCAGATGGTGCCTCCTTCACGAAGCCTTCCATCATCCCCTAGGAAGGCCCCTACCCCAGCCCACAGGGCCAGGGAAGATTCCTGGAGAAGCGAACTGCAAGCTGGTTTGAAGGACAAGCAGGAGTCGGTAGATGACGGAAGGTGGCCCAGGGGGAGGAAGCAAGTAGGAGCAAAGGATAGAGTGGCACCGAGGCCTGGCATAACCCTGGCTGGCCCTGGTGGCGCCCCTGCCAGGCTGCATGCCCCCCTGACTGTGTCTGTGGCTCCCTGCTCTGTCATTAGACCACTGGTGAATACTCCTTCAAGATATTTCCAGAGAAGAACATCCGTGGCTTTGTGCTCCCGGATACACCCCAAGGCCTGCTGGGGGAGGCCCGGAGACTCAACGCCAGCATGGTAGCATCCTTTGTGGAGCTCCCTCTGGCCAGTGTCGTCTCACTGCAGGCCCACAGCTGCGGTGAGCACCCTCTTCCCCTCCTTTGCCCTCTCCTGGGATCAGTGGCCTTGGGACTGCTGTGTGAGCAGGGTCGTTGCGGCAGCCGCAGGCGAGGACAGTGAAAGTCGTTAGTTAGGGAAGCACTCGGTGCCCAGTGCCCAGGGAGCACTCAGTGACTTGCCCGCTGGCCTCTGCTGCCCGGCAGGTGGTGGGCCGCAGACCTCTCCCCCACCCGTCCGGACCACCCCTCCCAAGGAAAGCTGCAACCAGGAGCTGCTCCTGTCCCTGATCCAGCCTAACTGCTCCAAAGATGTCATGACTGTGGTGCTCAAGAAAGATCTCATCTCGGTAAGGGAACCCCTGGGGACATGGGTAACTGGTCCTTCCTTTAGGCCAAGAGTCTTGGGGTCCTGACTCAGGCAGGGAGACAAATCCCATCCCTCTGCAAGCCTCAGTTTTTCCACCTGTGAAATGGGCTTGATAATGGTAACTGCCATGCAGGAAGAATTAAATGAGGTCTGACACGCTGAGCCAGATGTGGTGCACAGTAAGTGCTCAGCAAACAGGTACTGGTCATCATTAATTCATCCTAAATGCAGGCTGAGCCCGCTGGGCACTCAACACAATATCTATACAGTATGATCTCTGCCCGACTGAAGAACAAGGGTATTTACTATAAACACTGGATTTTTTTAATTTTTATTTTTTTAAGGATTTTATTTATGGGGTGCCTGGGTGGCTCAGATGTTAAGCGTCTGCCTTCATCTCAGGTCATGATCCTGAGGTCCTGGGATCGACCCCGCATCGGGCTCCCTGCTCAGCGGGAAGCCTGCTTCTCCCTCTCGCAGTCCCCTTGCTTGTGTTTCCTCTCTTGCTGTCTCTGTCAAATAAATAAATAAAAGGTTTTATTTATTTATTTGACAGTCACCACATAATGGGCACTCTTCTGTGTCTTGCTTGTTACACTCAGTGTTATAGCTTTGAGGTTTAACTGTGGTGTTTTATTTATTCCATTGAGTTACTGAGCTACCGTTCATTTATCCATTCTACTGTTGAGGAGCATTGGGGTTGTTTCCCATTTGAGGCGACTAAGAATAAACGGCTGTGTACCTTCCAGTACAAGTCTTAGGTTGACATAAACACTCATATCAACTAGGTACATGCCCAGAGGTGGAGCTGCTGGGTCGCTGGGCAGGCAGAGGTTTAGCCAAATAATTTCGGGGAGCAGACAGACCAAGCAATCCCCAGTCCACTCGTCATGTAGGAAACGAGAGCAATTTTTTTGAACTTTTTATTTGGAAATGATTTTAAGCTCACAGAAAAGTTGTAAGAATGAGAACAGTACAGACAGCCCACTTGTACACCCTTTGCTCAGATAAAATTATTTCATATCATGGGGAGATATATATCCCTATATATACACATCCATTTGCATGCATATCGCAAGAATGTATAGATAGAAACACGTAATGTAGGATTATATATGTATGTGTGTTATATGTTATAACATTCACACATGCAGGGGTATGTATATATGCTTGTATATAACTTGTTCTGAACGATTTAAGCATCGACTTTATACCTCATGGTTCTTTATACATAAAGACTCCAGTGTGTATTTCCTAAGCATAAGGACATTCTCCTACATAACAATAGTACAGTTAGCAACTTCGGTGGAATTAATGTTGATTTAATAGTTTTATTTAATCCACCACTCATTTTTTTTAAGATTTATTTATTTGAGAGAGAGAGCACAAGCAGGAGGGTTAGAGGGAGAGAGAATCTCAAGCAGACTCTACGCTGAGCATGGAGCCTGACACAGGGCTTGATCTCATGACCCTGAGATCACGACCTCAGTCGAAACCGAGAGTCACTCCCTCAACTGATTGCGCCACCCAGGCGCCCCAACCACTCATATCTTACTGTGTTTTTTTTTTAAAGATTTTATTTATTTGACAGAGAGAGAGACAGCGAGAGAGGGAACACAAGCAGGGGGAGCAGGAGAGGGAGAAGCAGGCTTCCTGCAGAGCAGGGAGCCCGATGCGGGGCTCAATCCCAGGACCCAGGGATCATGACCTGAGCCGAAGGCAGACACTTAACGACTGAGCCACCCCCACCCACATGCCCCAATGCTGGTTTTTTTTTTTTTAATGTGAAAAATTAGAAAAGAAAATCTCAACCTTCCTGCCCAAAGACCGTGGCTACCAATATTTTAGTTTTTCTTTCTGGAATGTGTCCTCTGTGTATTTCTTATATGGTGTCATCATCTCCAATGCACTTGTCTCCTGCTATATTCACCTACTGTATTTTTAGAACTTTGACATAAGTACTTAATGTCGCTTTAATAAGCACAAATTATTTCATTGTATTGGCATGCTATAAAGACTTGTACTGGAAGGTATACAGCTGGCTCCCTTGTTAGACATTTAGGTTGCTTCCAGTTGTGCGACATTATAAATACACAGAGAATATCATCATGCATTCTTTATGTAGGATTGTTTTCTTAGGCTAGATTTCCACATTAGTGAGATTGCTGGGTCAGAATGCATGAATATTCTGTAAGTTTTGATACATGTTGCCACCCCACTTTCCAAAAGAGGATTCCAATTTTCACTGCCAGTTTAGGAGAGCACTTTGATTTCTCTCTCCAGACTATTATTTTTGTTTAAAAAAAAAAAAAATCTTTGCCGGGACGCCTGACTGGCTCAGTGGGTGGAACATGCGACTCTTGATCTTGGGATCATGAGTTCAAGCCCCACGTTGGGCGGCAGAGCGTGCTTAAAAAAATAAAAATTAAAAAAAAATAGAATTTTAAAAATTAAAAAAACCTTTGCCAACGTGAGAGGTGGGACATGGTGTTCCATTCTTGTTTCAGTTTATAATTCTTTGATTAGTAGTGAGTGTGGGCATGACTCCATGTGACTTATAGTAACCTAAGGCTCTTTATCAGCGTAGCTCAGTATTTTTCTTGATGATTTTTATAAGCATTTTACATAAAGAAAAAAATTTGGGACCGTTTGTCCACCATTCTAATTTGAAATAATTTATCCTTATTGTAATTCTAAAGTTGGGCTACAGTGATTTTTGTGTTTAGGGACATTTTAAAACACTGGGCCATCCTAGGTGCCCATCTTCCCCTGTGTGATTTCTCCTGGCCTGAGGCAGGAAATCTCAGCCAGAACCTTGACAAATCACCCATGACCTCAGGGATCTTTAGAATGACACTTAAATCTGTAGTTAAGTGCACATGGACGTTTTTGGGGGCTGTGGGGTACAGGGGCGATATGAAATATCACCTGTCTGCTACCCATCTCTTCTCCCCCTCTACCTCCCTCTGGCCCGGCAGGTGCCAGGAAGTGGAGGAGACAGTGCAGGGGCAGCATTAGTCGGCATGACTGCTGCCCAGTCCAAATTAAAAAACAACAACAACAACAACAACAACAACAACAACAAAACCCTGCCATTTTCTCTGAGTACAGCATCCGTATAGAAGAAAATACAAAAGAAAAGGGTCTGAACAGAATCACCCCAACATGGAACATTCTGCCCTCTCATTGACTTAAGAAATGGGGTCAGTGTGCAGAATTTGGATCCCAGGGTATGTGTCACTGGGGCTTCACCCAGAGTCATTTTTATTTGGTGGGCTGTTATCTCCTAAGGTGTTATCTACCTGAGGAGGAGTGCAGTCAGGGTGGCATTCTGGAGATGTGAGTTAGCTGGATTCAAGTGGGAACTCCAACAGCTCACTCAACTCAAAGATGCCAAGATTCTTTGATCCTAAGAGCATGACTGAAAAATTCTAAGATTGATTCTACTTGGACAGGAGATGACAAACTGTGGCCCTCTGCGTGTTTTTGTAAATAAAGTTTTATTAGCATACAGCCACACCCATTCATTTACGTATGTTCTGTAGCTGCTTTCAGGCTCTGGTGGCAAAGTTGGGTAATTACAACAGAGACCACATAATCCACAAAACCTAACAGATTCACCATCCAGCCCTTTATTGGAAAAATTTGCCAACTCTGGATCTAAGAGTCTAGGGCTCTTTTTTTTTTTTTTTATTTGAGAGAGAGGGAGAGAGTGGGTTGAGGGGCAGAGGGAGAAGTAGACTCCTTGCTAAGTAGGGAGCCCAATGCAGGGCTCCATCCCGGGACTCCAGCATTGTGACCTGAGCCAAAGGCAGTCACACAACCGACTGAGCCTCCCAGGCGCCCCCGAGTCTAGGGTTCTGAGACTGGATTATGCTGGTGGGATCTCCATGCCCCTGGGGCTGTGGGCAATGATTATATGTAGAACTCAAATGAGTGTTTTTAGTATGTCTGCATTTATTCTAATTACACACATTAGGAGAAAAGTAGCAAATCAAGCTCATGATGTCACAGATATTATTGCTTAGGACAAGGCTAAGTACAAAAGTGAGTGTAGTTCAGGAAAAGTATTGTCTTAAATGGTGTAGTCTGGTAAGATCTCACAAAAATGAAGAGGGGAGGAGAGGAATGGCTGTGACTCGGGAGCCCTGAGTTCCGTCAGTCCTTGGTGCTGGGGTGTGAGGGACAGGCTCCAGAAAGCCCCACACTTCCTGACGGTGCCCCTCCACTCCAACCCTGGCCTAGACTCTGAGGTGCACCATCACAAGCCTGACCTTCTCGGACCCCAGCTGCCAGGCTGAGGACAGAGATGACCAGTTTGTCTTGCGCAGCACCTACTCCAACTGTGGCATGAAAGTGACAGAAAATGTGGTCAGGAATGAGGTAAGAAAAAGGGCGGGTGGGAAAGGTATCAGCCAGCTTAGCTGGTGCCTCCTTGACCTTCCAGGCCAGTGGGGCTTTGGGAGAGGGGGCTGTGGTGCTCAGTAGGAAGACAAGCTTACTAGCCATTGGTTGCCTCAGTCCCCCCATCCATAAAATGGGTGTGTTGGGTGGGATACCCTCTGGGGTACTTCCTGGCTCTGACCTGTTCCTTGGCTCTTTTTCTGCAGGTGGTCGTCAACCTCTTGTCAAGCTCATCATCACAGTGGGTGAGATGGATGGTTACCATGCTAACCCACCTGGTTCAGGGTCCTGGTGCCCCTTCCTGGCCTGGGAGGGAAGCAGGCCTCAGGAAACTCAGGCCCCGATCCTGGCAGGCCATGTTATCTGCAGGGTGCCTCAGCCTCCCCTTTTGTACAAGGGAAGCAACACTGTTCCGGGTTCCATTCTCAGCCTCTCAAGCCAGAATGTTCTAGTACATACTGGCTGTGTGGCCTTGTGCAAATCAGTTAAGCTTTCTGGACCCAAAGGCTGTATCTGTAAACAGGGGCCTAAAAACGGATCTCCCCCATGGGGGTGCTTATGAGCAGTCACTGATAGGACACATGGGAAAGCATTCACCCAGGCCTGGCACAGAGCAAGTTCTTGATAAAGATTAGCTTTGTTTTAAAGGAGGGTCAGGCAGCAACTCGGGACCATGGCTCACGCTCCCACCCCAACTCCTTACCTTTCTAGCCGGGTGCCTCCCAGACTGACCCTGCCCCCTTATCTCCCACAGAAGAAGGTGCACTGCATCAACATGGAGAGCCTCTCCTTCCAGCTGGGCCTGTACCTCAGCCCACACTTCCTCCAGGTCTCCCACACCATCGAGCTGGGGCAACAGGGCTTTGTGCAGGTACTGGACTTGACCTCTCAGGCCTGCCCACTTTTGGGATTCTCAGCCTTTCACTGTACCCTCAGTAGAGGGGAGGTGTGCACCGAACTCCCCAAAGGAGGGAGCCGGCAGGGTACATGGCAGAGGGGAAGGACAGCACAGAGACACTGGGTGGAACGTCCCCTCCTTGTCTGCTCTAGGCGGACCCAGGACTCTCCTTCCACCGCCAGGGTGGAGCCTCAGAATGAATCTAGCGTATTTCACGAGGGCAGCATTGAGTAACTGACCATGCCCCATCACTCTTACCTACCCATGTAGGTGAGCATGTCCCCATCAATCCCGGAGCTCATGCTCCAGCTGGACAGCTGCCACCTGGATTTGGGGCCTGACACGGACACCGTGGAACTCATCCAGAGCCAGACCACCAAGGGCAGCTGTGTAAGCCTGCTGTCCCCAGGCCCTGGTGGGGATGTGCGCTTCAGCTTCCTCCTCCGTGGCTACATGGTGCCCACACCCACGACTGGCACCCTCAGCTGCACCATAGCCTTGCGTTCGAGGAGTTTGTCCCCGGTGAGTGGGGCAGCAGCTTCAAGGGTGGCCTCGGGTCTAGGGTTTCCGGGAAGGGATGCGACAGCCCATGATGTGGGACCAGCTGGTAAGGGGCAGAACCAGACTGGTGTGTGGCTTCTGGTTACCATGGCTGCTCCTTCTGCCACCCTCCAGCCTTCTGAGGGCTTTGCTGGGTATTGGACATTAGTAGGATTTGCAGCTGTGTCCATCCACCCTTCTACTCTCCATCCTTCCTTGCTTTCATCAGTCCTCCCGTCCATCCTTCATTCTACTATCCATCCATCCACTCATCCTTCCACCATCCATCCTTCCTTTGCAGTCATCCTTCCATCCATCCTTCCATCCTTCATGCGTTTCTTCCATCCCTCCATCCCTCCTTCCAATCATGCATCCTTCTACCATCCTTCCATCCACCCTTATCTCATCCCCCTTCCATCTATCCATCCTTCCATCTGTTACCCTTCCATTCATCCCCCTCCATCCCCCCCACCTTCTACCACCCCCCCCAGCCATCTACCCCCCCCCCCCAGCCACCTACCCCCCCGCCTTCTACCATCCCCCCCAGCCATCTATCCAGTCCCTCTTTTCCACCCGCTCACCCATTCATTAGTTGATACTTCTCATCATCCCACCCAGTCATTCATCCATAGTCCTTCCACCATCCCAGCCAGCCTCCTACCATCCCAGCCAGTCATCCACTGACCCATCCACCCAGGAATCCATGCACCCGCCCATCTTTCCACGTGGTACGGTCACCAATGTCATTGCATTAAACAGGAGATCTCCGCAAAGAGGGTTAAGATAAAGGACGCAAAATTCTGATTTTTCTCCTTCACCATCCAGTGGGGAATCCCTGTCCTCAGGCACACAGCCTTGGACACACACATCCCCAGGTCCTGGCACACACACGGGTCTCCAGGATTAGAAACTTTTCTGGTTGTATGAAGCTAGGCAAGCCTTTGGGGCCACTCCTGAGTGGGTCTTCCCCCCTCAGCATGGGCCTCTGGGCTAACCTGACTCATCTCTCCGAGGTGTTCACAAGGGTCACAGATGCAGTGTAGAGTGCCCCTACAACCCTCATGGGATTCAGGAGCCTCCCAGGGAACATCCTAGTAGCAGCCAAGCGTTGTCCACCCAACACCCTCCCTCAGCATGGATCTCCCAGGACTTGCCCAAAGGCTCACAGCTAGAAAGTGGTGGGATAGGATCCAAAGCCAAGGCCCCAGGGCGGGTTGTGACAGGCCCTGGTCACAGAGCCAGGGAATAAGCCCAGTCACTGCCTCCTGCAGGCTGTGCTATCCACCACTCTCTTTTCCTCCCCCAGGACACCCACAGGACTGTCTCCACGCGTCTGAACATCGTCAGCCCTGGCCTGCCTGGTGAGTCTCTCTAGGGTTCCAGCGGCTGAGGCCAGATGTGGGACCTGATGGGTGGCCCAGAGGGATGTAGCACAGACACATGCAGGGAGGACCCCAGAGAGAGCATCCCTGGGAGGAGGGGCAGAAGGGCCCCCAACAGCCTAGTGTAGGATCCATGCTGTTATCTTCTAGATAGAAAGCCTTTGCTCTTGACTACCTCATGGACCAAATGATCCCAGGCATTTAGGTTTCCTTAATCCCCATAGTTGTTAGCTACCTTGCTTAGGGTGGGGGTAGAGGTCCTGGAATCAAATGAGGCAGAAGGCACGCTGGAGCAGGGCTGGCCTCACCTTCTTAAGGCCCCCAGTGTGGAAGATGCTCCTTCAGCCCAGCACCCTCCAGCCTCCTTTTGTATTCCCTGTGGGCCCGGGCCCCTAGCAGACAGAAAAGGTCACTGATACTGGGGGGTCGAGGTCAGGGGCACCTGCTTCCTTGCCACCGTACCTGGGTTAGGATAGAGCCCTGACCCCAGCCCATGACCCCAGCCCAAGAGAGCAGGGCCAATTACCCCATTGCATCGATGGGAACTCAGTGTCCAAGGGGAAGCCCACAGTCACCCAGGAGTCAGGAGTGTGGATGGAATGAGGCCTGGGAAAACCCAAGAGCAGGGCTGAAGAGCCCTCAGAAGTACTCCGGCCCAGTCCTACCATAGTAGGAATTCCTACCTACCCACTCCCAGGCCCCACTTACTTTTAGCTCAGATTATACCATCCATGCTCCCTAAAAGTGCATCTCCATCAGCCTTGGAAGGCAGAGGCATGGCCCAAAGGCCTGGCTGGGTGGATGGTCAGAACAGCCATGGCTCAGTGCCAGGCATGGGCGTGATGAACCCATCTGCTAGATAAGAAGACAGAGACCCAGGGAAGTCAGGGTCAGCGGCCGAGCTGGGACTGACGCCCAAACCTGTGCCCCTGGCCAGCACAACACAGTGGGGGCCTAGGGAGGGGGCCACAGCACTGACCGCAGCCATCCTTCCCTTGCGTGCGCAGACAAAGGCCTTGTCCTGCCCGCCGTGCTGGGCATCACCTTTGGCGCCTTCCTCATTGGGGCCCTGCTCACCGCCGCACTCTGGTACATCTACTCGCACACGCGTGAGTATCCCAGGCCCCCACCATGAGTGCTCAGGATCCCTCTGCCACCATCACCAGGGGGGAACCCGGGGGAGCCTCTGGGGGAGTGGGGAGCCCTGGCCGGGGCCCTGACCTCCGCCCCTGCCCCCAGGTCCCCCTGGCAAGCGGGAGCCCGTGGTGGCAGTGGCTGCCCCGGCCTCCTCAGAGAGCAGTAGCACCAACCACAGCATCGGGAGCACCCAGAGCACCCCCTGCTCCACCAGCAGCATGGCGTAGCACCCGGCCCGGAGACCTGGGGGCCCCCCAGCCAGCGCTCGCCCAGCAGGAGAGACTGAGCAGCCACCAGCTGGGAACCACTGGCCATGAACTTATCCCGGGACCCCAACCCCTCCACTCGACCAAGGATGGACCATGCCCTCTGCGCCCACCCCTCCTGCCTCCCTCTCAGAGGCCTGCTGCCAGCGGAGGCACCAGCTTGGAACACCTTGGGGTCCCCCGACCCCACCCCACCGAACCTTCAAACCCAGTGGGCCCGGACTACAGCTGCCCAGGACCATGGAGAGAGAGACCACTGCCCTATAAGTCCACACTGTTGTAGAAACCGAGTCCCTGTAGTTTTCACCTGGATCCAGCACCTGGTGACCTGGGCTAGGTGGGAGGGAAGAACTCAAAACAGACTCACCCAGGCCTCCTGCACAGAAACAGAAGAGGGCCAGCCCACAGCCACCTGGATCTGCTCCCAGCGGCCTCCACACCTGGCCTGACACTACTCTGGCAAGGGAAACAGAAGCCTAGGGGTGCCCAACCTAGGCAGAGGGGAACCTAGCTCCTCCCGCAACTGTCACATGGAGACCTCCCCCCACCGCCACACACACACACACCCCGAGGCAGGCATCTGATGGGAAGTGGCCCTACTGTCTGGCCTGGACCCACCCCTATATACTCACCACCAATAAATTAGACCATGAAATCCAGGCTGGGCTGGGCAGGGACAAGGGGCAGGAAGCCTAAAATGGGTGGGGAAGTGACAGCTCTGGGGTCAAATCCTGAATCTGCCACTGAATTGGCTATGTGACTGTGGCCAGGTTCCGTGGTTTGTTTGAGCCAGCCACAGTTCCCTCATCTGTCACAAGGTCTCTGGGGGGAGGTCTGCAAATCCGTGTCTGGCCTGTGGCCAACGGACCTGAGTCCAGTGTTCTGGCTGCAGACAGACCCCTGGAGGCTCAGGGGCCGGGGGGGGGGGGGGGGGGGGGGGGGGGGGGGGGGCGGCGGCTTGTCCCAGGCCCTACAGCCTGGGTTCCTCCCCTGTCCAGTTCCTGGACCAGCTGCAGCCCTCATGCCCCTACTGTGTGCTAACGGAGCTAGAGATTGAGTCGCTCAAACATTCTGCCATTTCCTTTTTTTTAAAAAAGTTAAAGGCTTTAATTGACTCCAGCCATCCTCTGTCTCTAGTGGGCCCCAGGCAGGAGCCCTCTCTTCCCCAGAAGGCCACTAAGAGGTAATCTATCAACCAGCACCCAGCAGGACTCTAGGCCTGGCCAGGCAGCTCACATAGTAAGCTGGGCCGGAGCCAGGAGGCAGGCAAGGGTGGCAAGGGAGGTGGGCTGCATAGTCTGGCCTGCTACAACAGTGCGAGAACCAGGAAGCCCTCGGGTTGCCTCAGGAGGAAGGAGAGGCCAAAGGCACCCTAGGCTCAGACAGAGGATGTCCTATCTTGGCCTCCCCTGCTCTAGCCCTCGATCTTGCTGCCCAGAGCCCAGGCCCTTGGGCCAGTGTGGACAGCATCAGAAAAGCCGACAAAAGGCACCTAACAGGAGTTCATGGAGAGCTGCAGGGCAGGCATGGGAGACCCCCACTTCCACCCCCACTGCCTGGGTTACTGGGACAGGGCAGGCTCCAGCAGCTTCAGGACGCCGCCCACCAGGTGCAAGCTGCCCGTGACCAGTACATGGATGGCGGCAGCCTCACGGAGCACACTGGCCCCGCTGCCTGCCACAGGGTGGGCAAGGAGGCCCTGTGGGGGACTGGGTGGCTGAAGGACAGGGTCCCGGCCTTGGCTGATCCACTGCAGGGCGTGGGAGATGCAGCTGAAGACGAGGGAGCTGGTGCTATGGGTGCAGGGTGGGTGGGAAGCCAGCAGTGAGGATGTGGGCTCACCAGGCTCCAGGCTGGGGGCGCTCCAGAGGTCTGGGCTGGCCTGCGCCTCAGCCAGGTGGCTCCAGTACTGTTGATGTGCAAGGCAACGGAGCAGCACCTGGTCCAGGGTCACCATGAAGTTCTGCTGGTCTGCCGGGCATAAGGATGGGCACATCAGCCAGAGGGACCGGCGGCAGGGGGTGCCGGGGGCAGGGGAGGCACGTTGTGAGCACCTGCTCAAAGCCAGGCCCTGGGGGCGCCCGGGTGGCTCAGTCGTTAAGTGTCTGCCTTCGGCTCAGGTCATGATCCCAGGGTCCTGGGATCGCGCCCTGCGTCAGACTCCCTGCTCTGCGGGAAGCCTGCTTCTCCCTCCCCCACTCCCCCTGCTTGTGTTCCCTCTCTCGCTGTCTTTGTCAAATGAATAAAATCTTAAAAACAAAAACAAAAACAAAAACAAAGCCAGGCCCTTTACCCGCACCATCGGGCCTCCCAGCGGGCCGTGCTGGGAGGAAATGGAGACGCAAACAGTGACTTGCCGCCGGTCCCAGAGCTGGTGGGACGCAGGGCCAGGCAGCTTAGCTCCAAAGCTGGGGCTTTCGCCCACTGAACACATCTGCCCACCCCAGCCTCACTGCCTTCAACTGTAAAGCAGAGTCTGGCACACAGGTGGGCATAAGTAGAAATGCGGATTCCTGGACTCTCCCCAACGGTCTGATGTTGGACCAGGGGATCTGCATTTTTTTTTTTTTTTACACTATTTCAAATTTTTTTGAATGTGACCCACAGCACAAAACACACTTTATGATGGCAACTCAGTACTCCCACAGGTGTATACAGGTGTCTGGGACAGAATCGTCATAAAACAACATCTACCCTTCATGCAAGGCACATATATTTTCTATTTCATTTTTAAAAATGCTGGTTTACACCCACTAAATTGATTGTAAAACCATCGGTGGGTTGCAGCCTGCAGTTTGAAAACCATTCCCCGCACGCCCCAACCCAGTAATTCTGTTCTGGTACCATGGTCCCAATATCCAAAACGTACCAAAGGAGCGTTTATCTATACAATAAAACAAATCTAGCTCCCTCCCTGGACCTCCCGTTCCGAAGCCCCCACTGTCACCATCAGAGCAGCCCACTGAAGGGCCTTCCAGCCCCTGCTTGTGCCCAGAGGACATGCCTGTCACCTCTCACCTGCATTGCCAGCAGACGACACCTCTGTCAGGTTAGGGCAGAAAACAGCATAGTCAAACTGACAGGGCTAGGCCAAGAGGAAAGACTTGATGTCAGAGTCCCGAGAGGATGCCCCACCACCCCGACTTGCACACAGCACCCCCTGGGGTGCCCCCCCCACATCCCCATATCTGGAGAGGCCCCCACCCAGCTAAACTGGAGTGAAGCTGTATAAACCCAGCCATAGCTCCTCAGCGGCCCATCTACCTCAGTATACCCTGCAGGCCCATGACCTGGGCAGCACGGCCCACTGTACAGATGAAAACACTGAGGCTGGGGAAGGGGGACTTGCTTAAGAGCACCCAGCCATCCAGGATGGGGAAAGGCTTTGTCTGCACAATGAGAGAGATGAACAGCTTCAGCCTCCTGGTCTGTGAAATAGGAAATGATCCCCAGGACCCACTTCGGCCCTGATAGCTAAGGGCACCTCAACTTCCCTGAGCAGAGAGAGGCCCCTACATGTTCTATTAACTCAGAAACTCCTTAAACCATCTCTGAAATGCCATCTCTTGTCTAGAGTCATATGCTAGTGGTTGAAGGGGCATGCCAAGCGAGTCCTATACCTTACGCCCCTACCTGGTCCTCCCTTTAACTCTGGGCTTTAGCCTGACCCCGCAGGGTGAGGGCAGTGACCTACCTGGGCCTAGACCTCCCTACGAGCCCAGTGCCTTTACATTTAATCCTCACTACCGTTCAGGGGAGCCCCATTTTAAAGTCAGAGGCCCAGGGATGAAGGCACCTCTGGGGATCCCAAGGCCAGAACCGAGGGCCACCAGAACCCGACCACCCCCCAGCTGCCCCTCACCTGCAGCAGCTTCAGCAGGGCCGCGGAATCCCGGTCCCCGGTGGAGTTGAAGAGCAAGATGCGTACCTCAGGGCCGCTGGGGCGGGGGGGGGGGGGGGGGAAGGGGGGGGGGGGGGGGGTGGTGAGAGAGGGGTACCTCCCACCCTTCTCTGTGGGCCCTGCCCCATCCTTCCTCCAGAAGCTTCCCCTCCTCCTCCCTGGTCCAGTCCCAGCAGCGCCGCCCAGCATCTGGCCCCTCTACCCGCCCCCCCCCCAGGCCCCGTCCCTCCCTCCTGGCCCGGTCCTGACCCCGACACTATCCCAACCCCCCCTTCCCCCCAGCCAGGCCCCGCGCAGCCCCACCCGGGAAGCTCACTGGCTGGGCCTCTGGCCGCGGTGCAGCGCCTGGCGGAACCAGCGCACGCAGGCCTGCACGCTGCTGGTGGTGTGCGCGCCGTCCAGGTACCAGGTGAGGGGCCCGCGCCGCAGCACCTGCGTCCGGCCCAGCCACTCCGTGTCCCGAAGCCCTGCAGGGCGCAAGGCAGCCGGCTCCCACCCTGGTCCTCAACTCACACACACAACCTGCCCGCAGGGCCCCCTGCTGCTCGCTGCTGGGAGGCTGAGGCTGCCCACCCTGAGCCCTCTCAGCCAAGCTGCCGCTCACTCTTAGGCGCCAGCCACTGGGATCAGCTCTTGGGCTGCCTCCTCTGATAGAATCTTCCCCACAGCCCTATCATCTATTAGTCCCATATTACATGTAGGCGGAGAGCCCTTAGCCCAGAGAGATTAGGTCACAGAGCCAAGTGTGCCCGGATGTGATCCAAGATCTGCCTGGCTCCTGTCATGGCCCTGACTTGGGGCCTGGCACACAGTGGGCGCACTGGAATCATTGGCGAAAGGGGTTTAGCTGCTCTGAGCACCTACTATGGGCTGAAAGTTTCGGGGGAAGCAAGAAGCCTGACAATATGTCTATTCTCTCCAGATCTCATGGTCTTACAATGATGACAAGAATGCCAGTAACAGGGGTGCCTGGGGGGCTCAGTCCTTAAGCATCTGCCTTCGGCTCAGGTCATGATCCCAGGGTCCTGGGATCGAGTCCCACATCGGGCTCCCTGCTCCGCGGGAAGCCTGCTTCTCCCTCTCCCACTCCCCCTGCTTGTGTTCCTTCTCTCGCTGTGTCTCTGTCAAATAAATAAATTAAAAATCTCAAAAAAAAAAAAAAAAAAAAAAAGAATGCCAGTAACAGCAGCAACCACTGACTGGGCGCTATATCCCAAACCCACCAGGCCCTGGCCTCGGCCCCTTCGTGATGTCACCTCACAGTGTGTCCTGTCATCACCTCATTTGGCAGGTGGGACAACGGACGCTCAGAGTCCACGAACCAGGGACGCTTACTGACTTCAGAGGACTTTGTCCTGGGCACCATCTCAAACCGCCCCCACCTCTCAAACAGGAAACTCAAAGAACCATCTGAGGGGGCCTGGCTGGGCAGGAAGGTCCGCCTCACCATGCCGCATGTGGGGCGTGGGCTGGAACACGGGTGCCAGGGGCATCTGCCGCAAGACGCTGGGCCGAGACACCTTCAGCTCCCCGAGGCCTGAGGAGCAAGGGAGGGGGAGGGGCTGCTGTGTGGACTGAGTGTGCAGGGGACCTTCAGAGGCAGGCTCCACGTGCCCCTTCCCCACAGGCCGCCCACTTACCCTGGTGGCCCTTTTGCTGCAGCCAGCAGCGAGCCAGCTGCAAGGCCAAGGCGGCGTTGAACCGCTGGTGCTCTCCGTCCAGGCCCAGGGTCAGCGGTGGCCCCCCTTCCTCCAGGGCTTCCAGTGGTGGGCACAGGTAGAGAGGACACTGCCAAGGAGACGGGCAACATTGGGTCCAGGGAGCCCTCCCTGACGCCATTAGTCCTTCCATCTTTCCACATCAACCAGACCCCACCAAACTCAGATCCGAGAACCAAAATGTGCTCCAGCTGGACGAGCAGTTACCCCTCACTGCACAGATGGGCAAACTGAGGCCCAAAAGGATGACGGGCCTCCCCAGTCAGCTGCCACCCCCGCCCCAGGGCTTCCGGACTCACGGAGATCTGCTGGGCACGGTCCCGCAGCACTGCCAGGGGACCATCAGGCTGGAGCACCGTGAAGGCAGGGACGCCATGCTGGGCAGGAAAGGGAGGGAAGGAGGGAGACGGGCTGCTGAGGGTCCTCCATCCCTGGGTCTGGGCAGCTCACTTCGCCTCCCCACGCCAGACCCCACTTGCTCCAGACCCTGC